GTCACTCGGATTTGTTTATAAGGTTGAAGCGGAGGCTCAACAGCGAGAGAATATGGACATCGGCTCAGCCGGAGTCGAAGCTCAACGGTGAGAAAATATAAATGTCGGCTCAGCCGTTGTCGAGGCTTAACGGCGATCAAATATGAATGTCGGCTCAGCCGGAGTCGAGGCTCAACGGCGAGCAAATATAGAGACGTCGCAATAAATGATCGGCCTCAATATCGATATAAATTCGGCCTCGGCGTAGATGAATGTATTCGGCCCCGACACAGGTAAGTGAATTAAGAAGTGAGCGAACAATGAATAGGTCCGATGGGTTGGTCCCGTCGGCGAACGTCGAAGAAAATGAACCGAGATTTGTCAGTAAATGAAAATAAGTTGACCCAACATAAATAGATGAGGCTAGTCTTTTTCATTTCCCCAAATTGCTCACAATGGCGTGAGGATCTCGGCCCAAAGTGCATTTTATTAGGCATGGGTTGGTTTTGGCTGAAAATAAGTTTTAGTTGGACTTACTCCATCAAATAAGGTTGCCGACACTTTGTACATATCCTCTTCTTTCTCATTAGCAAATAACGACAATATTCCCTTTAGATTCTATGGCGTGCGTCTCGACAATTTAGTCGAGATTTTAACTGTCTGGTGCAAATAATATTTTCAGGCGATGGTGTGAATTTACCAGATAGTGGAATCGGGCCCCAATTTTAAGGTCGAGCTCCAATTTTGAGGTCGGAGATGAAGAGCCCGGGTGCGATGTGAAGATCGAAGACTACAAGGTCAAGAACAACGGCACTTTTGCTCGCACCTCAGCTAGGATTTGAGATGAGAACGTCGACTCAGATGTAGGTCGGCCGTGATGAGGTTGGTTTGTGAGGTGGACCTCGGTGGTATGGAGACGTCGGATATACCGAGGTCAATTCGGAGAAGTCGGAAATCGGATTTCAGTCATGGGCTATTGCGAGGATTGATGATTCGGCGGCAAACTGAAAGTGAGTATGTGTTCGTTCAACCCAGGTAGCGTATCGACAAATCGAATCTCAGTGATTGATAGGTTGAGAAATCGGTCCAGCTTCCATTTTAGATTTCTGAGCTTGTGCTGTGACGCCGGTTGTTGGCCGTGAAGACATCGGATAGACTAAAGTCGGTGATGTCGTGGTCCCAACAGGGAGAAGTCGATTTTGACAATAGATAAGTCGAGAATTCAGGTAGGGCGTCGGTAATTGCTTGGAGTCTCGTCGGCAGAGATTGGGCCTCGGTAATTGTGGTTGGTCTTGCCGAGGTCCCGGTGAGACAAAGTCAGTTGACTGCAATTGTAAAGATCGGGGCGCCGAGGTCGATTCCGATCGATTTATGCTCCTTGGGGGTTGGCTGAAGAAGATGAGGTCGGTGGACAAGACTGAAATCAGAGGTGGAGATGTCGGATTCCTATTGGGCCGAGATGTTAATGTTAGTTATGTCTGATTCGTGCAGTCAGGCCCTGATTTTGAGGTCGGAGTTGAAGGTTCTGAGGTAGGCCCTGGCGTTTACGACGCTGACGTCGGTCTAACGGCAGGTCAAGGGCTCAAACAGCAAGATCGAAGATACGGCTGTGATGTCGGTTATGTTGATGTCGGCCGACTCTGAGTTCTGAATTTGGTTGTCGGCGAATCGAGGTCGGGTATTTGATGCAGAGATTAATTGCAATTGAGTCGGGCTCCGCTTTGGTTGTGCGTCTCAATAATCGGCAGAGAATGACGAAGTCGGGCCACAGGTGTGGAGTCGATTTTGGTTCAGTGACCCACGTCGGTTGGTTGTAGAGGATGACGTCAGTTTCCGAGGTCGGTTCTGCCTTAGTGAACGACGTCGGGTTTTGATGTTGGTGGTCAGCGTGGTTTATTGTGGGTGATCGCAAGGTTGGGTCCCGATGAATCCGAGCTGTAACTTTGGACATCCGACAATGGCAAAGTCGGTTTGTGCAGCTCGGCAGTTGCTGAAGAAGATGAAGTCGACAGACTGGAGGTCGGCTCGAGATCCGATGTGTACGCATTTGGGGGATCCCACAAATATGAAGTCCGAGGCGACGAAGTCAGTTTCAGTAATGAAGGCGTCATCCCACGTCAGAAATCGGCTCCTAGATGTTATGAGGTAAGGTTCCCGGTTTTAAGGTCGGGTGTTTTTTTGTTTCTTATGATAAGAGTCAAAACAGGCGGTGGTAGGTGACGTGGCTTTCGTTTGGTCAAACGAAATTATTGATTCCCGCTGCAAGTCTCCTCTATTTCTTTTTTTTTATGAAGCTTCTCGTCGCCTTCTCTTCTTCAGGGAGAACACAAAATATGAACAAAACAAAACGCGCAGAGACGTACCTTGATGGATATCTTCAGAGATTTGTGATGAACAACATGAATACGAGATTCTCACAAAATTATCAATAATTTTCTTTGACTCGAGGTGATCAATTTTTGGGAGAGAGGTGGCCATTTTCTGGCGAAGATTAACCCGAACAAATTACGGGGCCCCCTTCCTCTAGCGCCAAACTTGATGGATATCTTCAGAGATTTGTGATGAACAACATGAATACGAGATTCTCACAAAATTATCAATAATTTTCTTTGACTCGATGTGATCGATTTTTGGTAGAGAGGTGGTCATTTTCCCGCGAAGATTAACCCGAATAAATTACGGGCCCCCTTCCTCTAGCGCCAAACTGTTGTTATGCGAAATTGTATCAACATATATGTACACCCCTATTCCGTGAATAATTGGTGTAGGAATAATATGAATTTTTAGTGATTTTTTGGTATGATTTTGTATGTTTCTTTCTTTGTTTTTGTTGAAGGAAGGACAGAGAAAATGAGGAAGGAAAGGAAGCTGAGGCGGTGCCTCATAACAGATCAGAGAGAAAAAAGAAGTGTCCCCCTCAGACTTATCCCTTGTCCATCATAGGGGGGATATTTATATAGGTTTTTGTCGGCCCGATATTATTACAAGCGGTATTATTTTTGGGCCTCAATAATAAGATAAAATGAAATAATTGATTTAATACATATCCACGTGTATTATCTTAATAGGCGATGTCAAAATTGGGTATCAACAATCTTATACATAAATCGGTTAATAAAAGAATAAAAAAGACTTATACTGTATCACTTATATTAGATAAGAATTCCTGAGCCCAAGAGTTAAGAATAAAAAGTTTTTCATGCCCTAAAATAGAATAAATGCTTAGAATAGAAAAAAAAAGATTATATTTGTTGAGAAGTGCCAAATTATACGGATACAATCCTTCTTATGTATCTTGATTAATTTGATCGTTTCTTTGTGAATTCCTGTAGGAATCATTAGTCGACGTGTCTCCGAATGCTAAGAGCCAAAGTAAGTGAGGAGAAGAGTAGATAATATGTGGGGATTGGAATGCCATTGTTGCTAGTTGTGAGAAGAGATAAGGAAGAGAGAAAAATGTAGAAGAGATGATAAGTTTTCAAAGCTTCATCAATCAAATGAAAAT